CACACACACACACACACACACACACACACACACACACACACACAGCATACCCAAACACACTCGCCGCAGGTGCTCGGCGTCGGCGGCGTCTTCCTGATGTCCGTGCTTGGCTACTCGTGCTTTTGCCTGCGCCAGGCCCACCCCCTGTCCCCCGCCGTACCCGCCCGAGCACGCGCCTCTTCCGCCTCCGCCCTCACCTCCGCCCTCTCCCTACCGCCCTCACCGCCGCCCTACCCTCCCGGCACGGCCCCAACCCCGCCCCCCCTCTCCCCCGCCGCACCCACCCGAGCACGCGCCTCTTCCGCCTCGTCGCTCAGTTTGACGTGGGCGTCTTTATGCGGATGCGGCTGCGAGACGAGAGCGACGACATGCGGGGCTCCACGCACGCGGAGAAGCTGCCGCCCGCTCGGTCGGCGCACTCTGCGCACGTGCGGCTCGACGAGGATGAGCCGGTGGAGCTGGTGGAGGAGCCGCCCGAGGAGCCGCCGAGGAAGCAACCTCAGGCGCCACCGCGGGCGAGGAAGCCTCCCGCCCCCTCGGTGCCCGAGCCCGCGGCTAGGCTCAACCCACGACAGCGGGCGGCGCGGGCGCCTCCCGCCCCCTCGGTGCCCGAGCCCGCGGCTAGGCTCAACCCACGACAGCGGGCGGCGCGGGCGCAGGCCCAGCAGGTGTCGCGATCGCATCACCTGCAGGCGGGCGTCGTGCTCGATGACGATAGGGATGAGGACCAAGACTGGGAGGACATGGCGACTGGCTCGACAACGCCGTCGCCGCCCTTCTCCCGATCGCCGGCGCGGGCCGAACGAGCGCACTCCCCGGTGTTCGAGTTTTAGCGGGCATTGTATCTCTGTGCCAGCGCGGGGAGGCCACTGTGGGGCGTGCGGGGGCGGCGACGCCTCGGTGGGCTACCGGGTGACATCGTGATGATGGAGAGCGCGCACGCACTTGGTGTATTGTGTATACGATTGGATGTTGGATCTGAAGCCTCTTTCCCACACTTCACCTCGGCAAGCAGGGTCATGACTCATGTTGAGAGAAGATTGAACGAGAGATAACCAACGCCAACGCTGCGATTAATCATCTGTGAGCTCGACTACGTCTAGCTCGGCAGCCTTGCGGCTATGGGCTGCTACACCTAGACCTACTCCTGTTCCACCCCTCAGCAGGCCAAAACGATGCTGCATGCCGATCCAAGCCCCCTCGGCCTTCTCAACCTCGGGCGACTCTGCCGCGGGTGCGGCCGGCTCGACCCGTCTACCGCCTTTTCGCGCCAGGCAGCACTGGGCACAAGAAAGCAGCGAGGTTGTGAACGGCACTCTCTGCATTCCCCTGCTTTGCGGTTGTGCGCCCATGCCGCGCAAGACATGGCGCAAGCTGACCTTGCGGTGCTGCTGCGACGGGTACAGCGGCACGGCGAGCGTGTCGAAGAGCTTGTACGGTGGCTGCTGCAGCACCTGAGGTGTTTGCTGGAAAAATTGCCTGAAGGCAACGCCGCCGCTTGCAGGGTCCTGCTCGGCGACGGGAGCGATGGCGATCCGCCGGTCCATTGCCGTTTGCACGATGCGCGCGACGGTGCCGGACGGGTCAAGAAAGGTCTTCTCGTTCAGGTAAAGCAGCAATACGGCGCGCCCCTGGAGCGGTGCGGGTGCGTTGGCTTCCTTGAGCACCTCTGAAGCCTCGCGGATCACAACCACGTCCGGAGAGTCCGGTGCGGCCGTGGTCGAGCTATGCCCCTCCGCCGCTGCCGCCTTCACCTCCGTCGCCACGTCATGCGCGCCCTCGTTCTCGCGACATACCAGGATGGTGACGAGACCAGTAAACCCGTGCGATCCGATTTCGCCTGGCACCGTGACGCCCGACGCGAGCTCGTTGAGATGCAGCGAATAGTACGGACTTTGGCGCAGCATGCGCAGCGCAACCTCCTTGAGCGACTCGAGCTGAAAGTCGTGCACTCGCACCCACGTAGCGCACAATCGGCGCCGATGGTGACAATGCGGGTGCTGTCGGGCGAGAAAGCTGCCGAGGCCGATCCGCCATTGGTTTGAGTGGATCCGCCGTAGGCGTGAGTTCTCTCCAGCAAGGGCGACGACAGGTCAGAGGAGCTCCACACTCGCAGCGCCTGGTCCTCGCCGGAGGTGACGATGCGGATGCCGTCAGGCGAGAATGCGACCGAATAGATGGTGTTGCTATGTGCGTTCTGCTTGTTCAGTAGGGGGCTCAGGTCTGAGGAGTGACATACTCGCAGGGATAAGTCGGAGGAGACCGTGGCGATGCGTGCACTGTCGGGAGACCAAGCGACGGAGTTAATGACATCGCTGTGTGCGGCGGTGCTCTCGACGAGGGGCGACGTCAGGTCCGAAGCGGCATTCCACACGCGCAGCGACCCGAACGCCATCGTATCGAACGATGCCGTCGCGAGGCGAGTGCCGTCGGGAGAGAAGGCGGCTGAGGTGACGGCCCTGTAGTTATCGTGTGCGTTGAGCCTCTCTAGCAGAGGCGACGTCAGGTCCGAAGCGACGTCCCACACACGCAACGCCCAATCGTTGCCGACCGTGGCGATGCGGCTGCCATCGGGCGAGTAGGCCACCGAGTAGATGTAACTGCTGTGAGCGTTGAGCCTCTCCAGAGGTGTCGACAGGTCCGAAGCGGCGTCCCACAGGCGTAGCGCCCCGTCTACGCCGCCCGTGGCTATGCGGGTGCCATCGGGCGAGAAAGTGACCGAGTAAATGCTGCCGCTGTGTGCGTTAACTTTCTCCAGCAGCGGCGTCGACAGGTCCGAGGCGGCGTCCCACACGCGCAGCGCAGAGTCGCCGCCGACCGTGGCGAGGCGGGTGGCGTCGGGTGAGAACGCAACATACACACGCGCGCAGCTCGAGGCTCCTCCCGTTTGGGGGATATGCGCATCGATCCTTTCAAGCACCAGATCAATCGCGATCTCGTTTGATGCGTCGATGGCGCCACCGTACGCGGTACCGTCGAGCGACACCACACTCGAGTCCTCGATCGAGGACTCAGTCACGAGCAACGACCCGCCGTGGCGCACCTTGACCGCCCCGCCACTCGCCTGCTTGCCACCATCAACAAGGTGCACGTGATCGAGCTCCAGCGTGCCGCCAAAGGCGACATCAAAGTGTCGAGAGCAGCCACTGGCGTTGAGAGATGCGCCGACGCCCGTGCTTCGCAGCGTCACGTGTGCGAGATGCACGCGCAGCTGCGAGCAGGCGGTCCAGGTGAAGAGAGACCCCTCTGGCAGCTCAACGACGAGGGCACCAGGCTTGCCGGATTGGCTGTTGATGAGGTTGCGGAGGCTGGTGAAGTCATTGGCGGCGAAGGTTGGCGGCGGTGCTGACGGTGGCGATGGTGGCAGTGAGGGCGGCGGCAACGGTGGCAGAGAGGGCGGGTGTTGCGGCGGAGACGGCGGTTGTTGCGGCGGCGGCAGAGACGGCGTTTGTAGCGGTGGTGCCGGAGACGGCGGAGGCGCCGGCGGAGAGAGCAAAATGCAGGCGAGTAGTGTCACAGTCGCCATTGCTCGGTGGGGCACATTTTTGGGTGCACCGCCCCCCGCGCCGGGAAACGGCGCTAACATGTCCGGCGGGCATTTTCCTTTTATTGGTATCTCTCTTTCACGCGTCGAGCAGTCTCTCTCGCCTGCGCACCCACCCACCCACACTCAGTCAGTAACGAGGTTCGCGGGGCGAGAGTGACGCACGCTCTTCCCGCCCGACCTCGCACAAGCACCAGACCTCAACGATGTCTACTGCTTGACATCCACAACCATTCGCTTGTCGAGTGCCAGCCGCACCACCAGCGTCGCCGCCGTCGCCTCCGCAGCCGCAATGATCTTGGCTGGCCCTCGCCGCATCATGCACTTTGCCCGTGTCGTCGGCCACTCACTGGTGGTGGCGACAGCGAGGAGCATCGCGTGCAGGTCGCACACGCAAGGGTGTACCGCTGCATCGCTGTAGCCCGTGTGGTGCGCGAGCTCATTTGTCCAAGGTTCCTCGCAGTGCGTCAACACGCGCGCGAGGCAAACGGCGGCGGCGGCGATTGTCGAGGGCAGAGCCGAGAGCATCTTGTACTCTCCCAGCGTGAGCTCGGCGAGGTAGCCCGAGATGTGCCCCGCGTCGCTGCGCGGCGCAACGCCGGCGACCTTGCAGAACTGGCTCAGGAAGACGAGAGAGGAGGGCGTGGTCAGCTTGAACTCGAGCGACGTGAGCATGAACCGCTCAGTCACGCGTATCTGTTTGGCCGAGAACTCGCCGCGCGTAAGCCGGGCGAACTCGCTGCAGCAGGGCTCGTACTCCACCTCCTCGTACTTTGCCGCGATCATGAGGGCTGCGACGCCGACCAGCTGCAGTTGTGGGTGAAGCACCCGCTTCCGCTCGAGGAAACGGTCGATCAGGTTCACCGTCAGGTGGAGCGTTTCGTCTTCGAACTTGTAAGCGTAGCACGCGTGCACGAGCCAGTCAACCAGGAGGAAGCGCATCTTTGCCGTGATGTTGGGCTGTCGTGCCAGGTAAGCTGTGTCAGCAACGCGGTTGACGCCTTCAATCTCTCTGTAGTGGCGGTGGATCTCCTCGAGGTACGGCACGAGCGAGTCGTTCACGTCGGCGGCACGGGCCTTGCTCGGAGCTGGCGCCGCGTCGTGTGCCGCGGCGAGGGCTGTCTGGAGGGTGCAACCCTGGACTGCGGCCGCGCTGTGCCGAGAGTGGCGTGCGCCCGCGTTGAGGGTGTTGGGCTGCAGCACACCCAAGCGCTCCAACGCCGCAGGGTCGCGGCGAGCGGGAGGCGTCGCCAGCAGGGCCGGCGGTGGCTCGCGGCTGACGGTTCGAAGGGTGCAGAAGATGCTGTGGCCGCGATTTCCCGCGAACCTCAGCGCGATGCCCTCCTTCCCGTGCCGCATCCGAATCGGGCCTGTCACCTCGCCGACCTCGCCGTGCATCACGAGGGCTTCGCTCGGGCCGATGTAGTAGAGATGGCTGCCGAGACGAAGGTCGCCAGGCAGCGGCGGCGGTGGCACTCGGCTCAGCTCGGTGACCAGGACGTTGACGGCACGTTGGTTGCCGCAAAAGGCGACGGCGAGCCTCTTGCCCTGGCACTGACTGACCACCTCGCCTCGCGCGCCGTGGACGACGCTGTCGCCGTCGTGGAAGGTGTAGGTTTCGCCGAGGAAGCTGACCCAGCAACCAACGTCGAGCTCCATATCGTTGATTTTCGTCGTGCTGCGCCTGCGCATGCGGTACTGCACTCCCCCCCTCGCTTTTGCAAAATCCTGCAAAGGTGGGGACGTGTCTGTCCTCGACCCAGCCCTAGCTTGGGATGTCCGTTGTATTTATTTATTTATTACTGCACTACTAATATAAGTTATAAAAGTCACGCACACGCACAAGTGCTCCAAGTGCGTCGGTGCGCCCCGCACCCCTAACGCGCGCGCGTAGCGCGCGCTAGGGGTGCCGCCGGCACCCCTAAGCGGCGCGCAGCGCCGCCGCACCCCTAAAACGCGCGCGCAGCGCGCCAGGCGCCGCAGCCTTGCGCCCGCAGATGCCAGATCGGTCCGCAGAGTGCGCTTCTTAGCTCCCCGGCCCTGGATGTGAAGCTACCGCTGACTGCACTCCATGTGCTCCAAGTGCTACCGGACAGACCCACTTCTCCCACCCCTCGCTTGTCGTGTCCGTTATATTTATTATAGACCCAGGGGGCGGCAGGGTCCAGAGGGACACGCGCCGCCGCTGCGAGCCCGGCTGGGAGAGCCGCCGCTCCACGACCCCGCAGAGCCGCTGTGAGCCGCCGCGCCACAACCCAACCCACACCGCCTCCGCGATGCGGCTTAGACGCGACGAATACCACCTTTGCTCCCCCAAGAGACGCTGCAGGCGCCCGGGCCCTTGCTCTCTCGGGCCGCCGTGGCGCGGATCTCCTCACGCCTGGGCGGCGTTGCGCAGGTACGCCTCAATCTTGTCCGGGTCCTTGACGCCGTCCGTCTCGATGCCGCTGGAGACGTCGACGCACCACGGCCCGACCTGCCGCACCGCCGCGCCCACGTTGTCCGGCGTCAGCCCTCCGGCGAGGATGAAGGGCGTCCGCCGCTGCACCTCCTCGCCAATCGACCAGTCAAACGTCTTGCCCGTGCCGCCGCCCTTGGAGTCGAGGAGGACGGCGGCGGCGAGCCCGCCCTGGATCTGGGAGCAGACCTGCTCGGCGGTGAGCGCCGGGCCCATGTGCACCACTCGGACCGCCGGCCGCGCCAGCTCCGCCGCCACCGCCCACCCTTCGTTGCCGTGCAGCTGGACGAGGTCAAGCCCGGCGGCCTGAGGGGCGGGGGCGGTGGGAGTGGCTCGCGGACAGAGGCTCGGGCGGGGGCGAGGGCGAAGGAGGCGGAGGGAGGGGCGACCACCTCGGCGGCGGCGTTCATCTCGTCCGCGCTCGCGTCGACAAACACCCCCACGACCAGCGGGCCCGCCTGCGCGCAGGCGCGCCGCAGCAGGCCGCTCCAGCCCTGCAGCCACTGCCTGGTCTCGCGCGCCTCGTCCGCGCCCTGGTCCGGCGCCGGCGCGGCGCGCTGCGGGAAGCGGGGCAGCGCCCACCCCTTCGGCCGCGGCCGCGCCTCGCGCACCGCCGCCACGATGGCCGCCGCCTCGCCGACGCTCACCTGCCGCTTGGACGGCGCGAGAATCACGCCGATGAGGTCGGCGCCGGCCTTGGCGGCGGCGGCGGCGGTCTCGGCGTCGCGCACGCCGCAGACCTTGCAGAGCGCGCGCGGCGGCGGCAGGCCGAGCAGCTCCCGCGCCAGCCCCGCCGGCGAGTCGGCGCGCATCAGAGACTCGCCGACGAGGACGCCGCACGCTCCGACGTCAGCGAGGGCGGTGACGTCGGAGCGAGTCGCAACGCCGGAGAGGGCAAGGAGGCGCACGCTCGAGCCTGCGGGGCGGGCGGACGACCCGCGCGTGAGGCGGCCGGCGCACCTCTCGCTCGCTCTCTCTCCCGCCGGCCGCGCGGCTCTTCTCACCGCTCGGCACGAGCGCAGCGCAGCGGGAGGTGGTCGTCATGTCCACCTCGAAGGTGTGGAGGTTGCGGTTGTTGACGCCGATCACCCGCGCGCCCGCGTCGAGCGCCACCCGCATCTCGCCCTCGTTGGCCGCCTCGACCAGGGGCTCCATGCCGAGGCTGCGAGAGAAGGCCATGAGCGACGACAGCTCTGCGGCCGAGAGCGCGGCGACGATGAGGAGCGCGGTGTCGGCGCCGTGCGCGCGCGCCTCGAGCAGCTGGTACTCGTCGACGATGAAGTCCTTGCGCAGCACGCACACCTCCTCGCCCAGCCCGCCCGCGACGAGCGCCGCGCGCACGCGAGCGAGGTCGTCGAGCGAGCCCTTGAACCACGACGGCTCGGTGAGCACAGAGATGGTGCAGGCGCCAGCGAGCGCGTAGGTGAGGCCCTGCTGCGCCGCGTCGGTGTGCGGCGCGATGTCGCCCTTGCTCGGGCTCGCGCGCTTCATCTCTGCAAGCAGCGCCATCGGGCCGCTCTTGCTGAGCACAGCCGCAAAGTCGTTCGGCGGAGCCGCCGCGGCGACGCGGGCGCGCAGCGCCTCGGCAGCCACCCGCGTCTTGGCCTCGGCGACGTCGAGCCGCCGCTGCTTGACGATCATCTCTAGCTTGCTCATTGCTTGCGACGCGAAGCAACCACACGGCGGGGACCACAGCCGCAACCGATATCTGGGTTTTGCTCCACATGACGGATGGGCGTGTCGTATCCACGTTTCAGTGTCGCATGTTACTTCCTGTCGTCTGTTGTGTTGTTGTGCCCTTGTTTGTGTCCTTGGCACCGTGGGTGCTGGGGGGGCGACAGGGAGAATGTGGCCCTGAGTTATGTGTACGCCAACTCACTCAGGGTGTGTGTGTGTCTTGTGAGCCTGTTTTTGTGTCTGTGTGTCGCTCGTGCGTGCCGTCATCATCTGTCCAGCGTCCACCCATACCGCGTTGGTGTCCAGTCCGAGCCTGGCTGTTCTTCACCTTCCTACATACATGCATACATCAGTGTCGTGTCTTGTGGTTCTGTTCCTTCCTGTCGCTCGGTCGCTCCTGTGTGTGACCGTCACCGCCCGTCCTGCTGTGTTTCGCCTTCGACACATACTCGAGCACATACTCCCAGCCTACTGTGTGAATTCGCGGAGCGAAGAAAATTTTATACGGAATACGTCGCTTTTTGGAAAGTTTTTGGAATACGTTGGAATACGCACGTATTCCACCCCCCCCCCCCCCGCAGCGCTGAAATTAAAGAAAACGAACGCCCGTTCCAGGAACCGTCCTCGAGATCGCGACCAACTATGCAAAGCCGCCTCGGACTCCAGCAGACCCCCAAGCCCGCCGGCGGCGCCGGCGCCACCCCGCGCGTGCGTGCGCGCCGCGCCGAAGTCCGCGCCCAAGCGCGATGGCCCACTCTGGCGCTCAGTTAAGGTGATCTCTGGTCCGTCTACGGGGCAATCAAGACGACGGCGCGCGGGCAGATGGGTCACGCCGTCGCCGACAAGCGCGTCTACTGCCACGAGGCGCTCCACCTCAAGGGCAAGCTTCAGACCGCCGGCTACAAGCAGGCGGTCGAGAAGTGGGACACCGACTCCGACTCGGACAGCTCGGACGAGGAGGACCTCAAGATGTGAGGCAAGCGCGGCGGCGGCAGGGGCGGTGTGGGGGGATGGGCGGTGGGGACGCTGCTGTGAGCACGTCGGACGCCACGCGCGGGACCTCCTTACGGTGCGCGCCGCGCACGCGCGCGCGGCTCGCACGCGCGCGTGCGCGTACAGTCTTATAGCTTATACACAGTCGGCACGCGCGTTCCGCGCGTGCCCCGCTGAATACAAATACTACCCATTCTAGAGCTGTTTTGGAATACGTGGAATACGTATTCACACAGTAGGACTCCCAGAGAGGTAGGTAGGTGGAGCTTGGTTGGCTTTGGGAGAGAGAGAGAGAGTTGCTTGTGCGTGGTTGGAGGCCCAAAAGGGCCCTGCAATTTGCAGGTCGCCTTTTTCCGCGGCAGGCCCTGGGGATAGCGGATAGGTACGGAGGGAGGGTGTAGAGGATGTAGAGTGTAGAGCGCTGTAGAGCTGTAGAGATGTAGAGCGCTCCCTGGAGCGCTGTAGAGCTATACATCCGCGGCACCGCGGGACGATCTGAGTCCGATGTAGAGCGATGTAGAGCGCGATTTTGCTGTAGAGTTGGTTGTAGAGGCTCTACAGCCAAACCGCCGGGAAGTCAGTGACTCAAAGAGGTCGAGCCGCGCTAATGCGTAATGGGGTGTCTCCGAGCTTGCTGGAGCTCTGATGGACGGCCCTCGCTGACTTATCCCTGACACACAGAGAGTCACTCTGACGGCACACAACACCCTATAACTGCGTCATGACCAGCCTGCCATGCGTCGCCGGTGCCGGGCGGTGGACTGTCGGCTGCGAGGACGGTCGCATTTGCGCGAGGCGAGGCGAGCATTCAGGCGCGTTGCAAGGCCTCGAGGCCTCGACAGGCCTCGACAGGCCTCGACAGGCCTCGACAGGCCTCGATCCAAATTCGGGTCGGAGCGTAGCGGAGTGGGACCCGAGTTTGAAAAGGGCGACGGACGCTTGCGTACTAGCCTCCAACAACGCCTCCCCGGCGCAGTCGCGCAGAGGGGCCCCCGGAGGGATGCTCAACCGCCCCACGCCACGCCGCTTGCGGCGGTCCTAATTCCAGCTCGAAGGCGTTACTTCTTAGGTAGGTAGGTAGAAAGGTGAAGAACAGCCAGGTTCGGACTGACACACTCAGGGACTTCTTATTTTTATCAAAAAGAAATCTTCCTCGGTCTGGCGAGCAGCGGAGGCCACTGACACCGCTCCGCTCTGGCAAGCATTGAGCTGAGGACTTCATGAACAAGCAGCCCGCCGCTCGAAGACACTCTGCCCGCATCGCATCGCGCGTCCCTGCGCCTGCTCCCGGGCCTGCCGCCGCTGCCGCCGCCGCTGCGGCGGCAAAGCGCAGCCAGCTTCCGCCCGCCGCGAGCTCGCGCTCAAAGAGCTTGCTGCTCCGGCTGCTCGACCGGCAAATTGACGCGCGAGCCATCCGCTCCTTTGAGAAGCGCAGCGTGCAGCAGCGCTTCTCGAATTTCAACGAGCGGGTCAAGTGCGACCTCTTTGCGCCCCCGAGCGGGAGTGAGCAGACGCCGCACGGCGTCGAGCACCTGCGCGAGCGGCGGACTTGCGTGCTCGAGCTCGTCGTGGCGGGCGGCCTCATCTTTGGGCTCGCCGACTCGGGCATCTGCTGCGGCTTTGACATGGACAGTGGCCGGCGAGTCGTGACGCTGAACGCATCGTCGCAAGAGGCGCGGGCGGGGCAGCGGCGTACCGCGCCTCGGCCTGCCCGCCCACACGCGCGGACGTCGGTCGCGTAGGTGATCCGCTCCTTGTTTCACAACAAGTCGAACAGCACGCTCATCATCGTCTCTGTCTGGGCGGCCGACGAGTACTCCTCGCTCCGCTGCCGCGCCTGCTCCCTGGAGGACCTCGCCTCGGGCAGCGCGGCGCGCCGCCCCTCGCACCACCTCCGCCCCCCTCTCCACCCTCCACACCGCGGGCCGACGCCGACCCGACGCTCCTCCGCCCCGCCTCCTCCGCCCTGCCTCGGGCGCCCCCCCCCCCCCCCCCCAGCTCACGCCCTGAGCTCAATCACCCTCGCGCCGCGACAGAGGCTCGGCCTCTCGCGCAGGAGTTCCGCGAGAGCGACCGCCGCCGGCCAGACCCGCACGCCTCCCATAACCAGCTGGCTGCGCAGCGTGAGCCCACAGCTCTCAAACGTGCTGGTCGACGCTGCTGCTGGAGCCATGTCGGGCGAGCACTTCTCGGGAGAGCACTGAGCAGCGTCGCTGTTGACGACCGACGCCGCGGATCGCAGCATCCCCTGGAGTTTCAGTCGGAGGGCGTCGATGTCGCCAAAACCGGCGTCGTCGAGGATCGGCATCGGTGCCGACATGGAAGTAGAGCTCTCGCAGCAGATGGTTTCTTCAGTGTTGGGTCCATTATGGCAATCCAGAGCGAAGGATAAACGGGAGCCGGCTTGTTTCTTTCGTTTCGAAACGCTGCCATTTGTTGTTCCATTCCGAGCCAGTCTGCTGTGAGAGGGGCTTGAGAAGTCTTTGGAAAGCTTCCTGGTAAGTTTATGCAAATTGTTTACTCGCCCCCGGGGTCAACGCGCCGTTTTGGGCGCACTTGATCGATCACAGCTGCGACCTGTACGCACGCACATCCGCACGCGCACACAAACACACAGGCACGCCAGCAACGCAACACAGACAGGGGATGTTTCACCTCTTGTTGCCGCTCGTCACACAGTGTCCACTTTCGTCGAGAGTATTCCGTGACCCGCATCTGTCCTTTGCGCACGGCGGACGAGCCGACTTCCGTGGACGCAACGGTGAGGAGAAACAACTGAATAGACACGAGCGCTTCGGCTGGTCACATGACTGACTTTCTGACATAGGTACTCTTTACAATTTTCTCTCCGCGCCTGGTCTCTCGGTCAACGTCAAAACAGAGGATGCTGTCTTCTCTTTGCGAGAAGGCAGGCTGACTGTGCACGGCTCGTTCATTACGGAAGCACACGTGACTGCGCGTATGGGTAGGACGCTCCTCGAGAGCTCTTTCTTCGCTCGAGAGCTCAACGAAGGCAACTGGGGCTGGCAGGTTATCAATGGATCCTGCGGGAAGCGCCGCTTCAAGTT